ATGAATCTGCAGTATGCAGTTGAAATTTACCTGGTAGTAACCCTTTCTTGACCATGAAAACAGAAAAGCTGGTTTAAATTAGGGAGCAACTTAAAAGATGAGTAAAATTTAATTAAAGAATAGAAAGGGTGACTTAAACCAAAGAGGCCTAACCCACCCAACCATCATCTTGGTTCACATCCTGTTCTGGATAATGGGGATAGATATTCACAATGACAAGAGAGGAGGAGGTAACCAGGAACTTCTGTTGCTGTTGTTGTTATTCAGTTGTTTCAGTCATGTCCCACTCTTTGTGACCCCATTTGGTGTTTTCTTGGCAAATATACTGGAGCGGTTTGCATTTCTTTCTCCCATTCATTTTACAGATGAGGAAACTAAGGTAAACATGATTAAGTGACTTGCTCAGGATCACACAGTTCATAAGTGTCTGAGACTGGATTTGAACTCAGGAAGATGAATTTTCCTGATTCTAGGCTCAGCACTAGAAGAGTATTTCATCAATTTATTTTGATTTATCAACAATCACTTCCATAAGCTTTTGAGTTTTAAATTGTTCTCCCTCTCCCATCCCCCTTCTCCCCCCAGGATGGCTCACAATCTGATATAAGCTATACATAAACATATTTTCACATTAGTGAGGTTGTAAGGAAGAATTAGAACCAATAGGAGAAACCATCAGAAAGAGGAAACAAAAGAAAAGAAAAAAAATAGCAAATAGTATGCTTCGATCTGCATTCAAACTCCTTCTTTCTTTGGATGTGGATAGCATTTTCTATCATGAGACCTTTGGAGATGTCTTAGATCCTTCCATTGCTGAGAAGGGCTAAGTCTATCAACATTAGTCATCACACAACATGGCTGTTACTGTGTACAACATTCTCCTGAGTCTGAATTACAGGGATTATCATGAAGACAAGACAAGAAAATGGCATGTGATGCAGTCTGAGAACTGGATGTCTGTGGATTTCTGTCCCTGGGAAAAGTTGAGAGGATAACCTTGGTATGACCTAAGGTTGGAGCCTATTGACTCAATTTCCCCATTATGATATTTCCTTTCTGGATAGGAAATTTCCCCACCTGGTTAAACCTGAGCCTGGCTTTTGATACCCTGTGAATAATGTGTAGCTTTACTACATGATTAGCGATCAGCTATGACTCATGCCTGGTATGAAACAGAGATAAGGGAGTTCTTCCCCTGTTACAGTTGATGTCAGGTTAGTCTGCACCCTGGAGGGGACAAGTCTTGACATTGTTATAACTATTTCCCTTCTTTTCCTTCTCAGCAAATTTCTATAATCTGGCCAGGTGAGCAGTAGAAGTTTATAAGTATAATATTAAATCTATTGATTAATAGATTGATACTGGAACATCTCTGAGTTACTATAATATGATGCAAGTATAAAAAATCTTACAATATTAATCTGCATTTGTGGTCAAATTATAATATAGGGATGATATACTCCTAAGAGGGGAATTAGACAAAGTAATAAGACAAAGCTGTAATGTAAAATTTTCTATTTAAATGGAATAGTAAATTTTGAGAAAGCAACAGAATTAGACTGTTTTCTCTATTTTATATATATATATATATATATAATGTATGTTTGTATATGTGTATGTGTGTGTGTATAAATGATTAATTTCAAAATGTAACTAATATGGAAATTCAGACTTTGCTTATATTTTAGAAATGAGTTCTCAAAATTGGATTAAGGTTTTACACATAAAATTGCACTGATAATTGTAAAGAAAGTTAAATTATTTTCTCATTTTCAAGTATCTGTCTGATAATTTTTAAAATACAGAAAGGTTCATTTTACAAGTTAGACACTCGTGAATTTTTTTAAAAAGATTCTTAGATCAGGTACAGGGTTTAGGTAAATACAGAAACAGTAAGTAGTACATAAAAACTAAAATTCTCTAAAGTTTCAGGTTTGGAAAACCAAATTAAGGAAGCTGTACTAAATTGGACTGTCTTGTTATAGGCAGATTTTAGCAGAATTACCTAGGAATCTCTGCAAGTGATTTGGAACCAAAGAGGCAGAACCTCCTTCAGAGCTGTTCTAAGAAGGTCTATTCCAGAATGTCCAAGAAAAGATATTTCCAGGGACCAGACAACTACATGGAACATCTGGAACTGAAGATGTTGATTAAATAAATATTGGTAGTAGGTTACTAGGACACCAGGAGAGTTGATGCTATTTAATATTGATGATCATCATTATATTGTTTTAGCTTTTTGTTTCATAGTATTTATGCTGTTTTCTTGGTTACCTCGGTGACATGTAACTCTCCCCTCCTAAAACTGATCTATTTTGAGTCCTCTAAGTAGTTTGATCTGTAGCCCAACTTTGTTTATTTTTAGTCTATTTAACAAGGTTTACATATTGTCATCATTGTTCTTTTTTTTTTCCCCCTGAGGCAATCAGAGTTAAGTGACTTGCCCAGGGTCACACAGCTAGTAAGTGTCTAAGGCCAGATTTGACCTCAGGTTCTCCTGACTCCAGAGCTGGTGCTCTGTCCACTGCACCACCTAGCTGCCTCCATTATTGTTCTTAAACTCTGTGTTAGCTGTTGTACTAAGTTATGAGAGAAGATGCTTCCCAGTGGTCTTTTCTTGTTATATAATATTGACAGTGAGAATGAGCACATTAAAAACCTTATAAATTTGGCTTATATTTAAATGAACCTTAGGAGGGAGTGGGCTGGTCCCTCCCCCATGAATCAAAAGGGGCATTTGAAAGAAGTGTGGGAATTGTATGAACCAAACTGACTCCTTGTAAAATTGACCCCATTTTGAGACCTAAGTTTCATTTTCCTGTAAATTCCACCTGCTTGCTAATGATGAGAATTGAGTAACATCCTATTTAACATCCAGAAAAGTCCACCTGCTCACTCTCCCCACTCCCAACTCTAGAAGAGATTACTTAATTTTATCTTTTAATGCATATAAATCTATCTCCCCCTATATGTGGGGTCCAGTGCCAACCTGAGGAGGCCTGGTCCCAATTTGCTATGCAATTGGCATTCGTTGCTTAATAAATCAATAGATTTGGAAGCTTGAGTCTTTGTTTCTTCAGTTATTTCAGATTTCACCCATCACAGTAGGAAAAGGACCAGGAGAAAGTAGTGTCAAGAAAACCTAGAAAGAAAAGAGTATCAAAGAGAAGAGGGTGATTGACAGTGTCAAAGACCACAGAGTTCAAGAAAGATGAGGATTGAGAAAAGGCAATTCCGTTTGGCAATTAAGAAATCATTAAAGTAACTTTGGAAAGAGCAGTTTGAGTTGACTAGAAAGACTAGAAGCCAGACTGCAGAGAGTTAAGAGAGTAAGAGGAAATAAAATGGAAGTACCTTATGCAGATGGCCTAACATTAAGAAGTTTAGTCACAAATGAGAGGGAGGATATGAGACAAAATCTAGCAGGGATAGATGGATCAAGTGACAGGTTTTTTGAGGACAGGAGAGACATTGGGCATGTTTCTTAGCATTAGGGAAGCAGCCAGTAGGCAAGGAGAGAATGAAGATAAATTAGAGAGTGGGAATGATAGAAGGGACAATCTGCTGAAGAAGAGGGGATAGAACTAGATCACAAGTGCACGTAGAAATATTTGCCTTTGCAAGGAGAAGAATCACCTCTTTGTGTGAAACAGGGGTGAAGGAAGAGATAATGGCAGAAGGCAGAAGGGTAATAAGAGATTAAGAGAAAGGGAGAAGAGGGAGCTTTTGGTGAATGGCCTCAATTTTTCAGTGAAATATGAGGCAAGCTTCTCCATTGAGAGGGTAGGGGCAGAGGGAAGAGTGGGAGGTATGAGGAGAAATGAAAAGGTTTGGAAGAATTATTTCACTGAATGAGAGAATGAGTTATTTGGGGAGGTGTAAAAGGGTTGCCTTATAGATATGAGGATCCAGTTGAGGTTGTCCAACATAAACTTGTAAAAGAAGGACCCTGTCAGCATGGTTTCATGATGTCAGCATATGCATAGTACAAAAAGGTGAAGGATGTACTGGAAAGAAGACTGATTTTGGTATCAGAAGTTCAAATCTTAGACATTACTTACTACATGAATGATTTTGGGCCACTCTCTGGACCTCAGTTTTCTCCTTTGTAAAAAAAGGAAGAAGTTGTACTAGTATCACAGAAGCAAGAGCTAAAAGGCATTTTCAAGATCATCTTACTGGCTTCCCAAATGACAACATTAAAATTTTTCATTCTCAACCACATGTTCCCTTCACTTTGCTAGAAAATGGGATAAAATTATCTCTGTAAAGAAAAAATAGTTGCAAAACCATATACTTTGCTTTTTTTCAAGTTTAAGAAATGTTTAAGAACTTTTGTAATTAATCATTTTAGTAATTAAAATATTTAGTAATTAATTATTTGTAAATAATTATTTTTGTAATTAATAATTTTATTAATTATTAATTATTTTAGTAATTTAATTATTTTAGTCTACAACACATAATTAAATGTTAGATTTCAAAAATTTGTACAATAAAAAACAACATGGTCTTGAAGTACAAAATTCATTTTCTTAAATACTTCTTTTTTAATAAATCTAAATTTCTTCCAAAAAAGCTACAGTAATTAAAAGGTATAGGATACTAGGGAACTACCACAACACATTGATAAATATATATAAATGAAATGAATAATTATTCCAAGAGCTGCTAGGGTTGTGCTTATTAATGGAGGTCTATTCTATTCTTCCTAAGTTTTCCAAGAAATATATCTAGTTATTTCTGTAGATGCTCTATCACTGTACTGGACTATAAGCTCAAAGGGGGCAAGCATCATATTTTTAATCAAGCCATGTATCTTTCCAGGTTCCTGATACAGTATTCTGTCAATAACAGGCATTTAACATTTGCTTTTGAATCCTCATTATATATTTCAAGAAAATGTGATAAATGATTAGGACAATAATATTACCAATCCTACTTTGACAAGTCTCCTATTTTTCTAGGTAAAATTTAAACATTCCATGGTAATTCTTTACCTGATTATTACAGTTGCCAATAATGAGGGCATCAGCCAGAGTCAATTGTCCTACAATCATCCCTTGCTCCAACAAGGGGGCCCCTGCTTCAGCCAATCGATTAGATGTGATAACAATGGTATTATCATCATTTAAAACCATGACTGGATCTGCCTAGAAAAAGAACCAGTCACAAGTTAACTATACAAAAATATTTACAAAGGAAAAAACTTTCAGATGCAAACAATTAAGCTTCTCTTTTTGGTGCAGACAAAGACATATATATACGCACACTCTATATGGTAAAAACATGACCCCATACAAATGCATAGTCTGATATAAACAACCAAGTAAGCCAACCTCAATAAAGGCTGCAACCTCCTGAAGTACCAGGTTCCACTCCACCTGATCTTCAGTATTAAAGCGATGAGTGTAATCTTCAATTTCATCAGACAGTTCCTGATTTTAAAAAACCACAAAGAAAGAAAGATTTTAGACAACTCACTTAAGGATATCTGGACATTTAAAAAGCATCAATACCTAAAAGAATGGAATTGACATATGCAGGCAATCTCATTTTGAAAATATTGTCATCACAGAAGCTCTTTAAGTACAGTCTGAATAACTATATTCCAGGGATATTATAGACAGGATTCCTATTCTAGTACTGTTTGAACTAGATAGCCTCATAGAATCTTTTCAAGCCCTTTCAACTCAACTTTAAGATTCTATGATAAATCCACTGCAAAACTCCCAAAAAGAAGGAAAGAATAGAACCTAAATATGCCTTTGAGCCAAAACTACAACATGGCATTGCTCATTCATGAGAAATTCTTATACCCAGCAGTTCATATACCACCTCCTCCTGACTACTTAAGTTAGAATATAAGTATAGAGAAAAGGTCCAACCAGAATATCAGAACAGAGAAAAAATGGGAGAATCCTTCTAGGTGGGGGTAGAGGGAATGGAGGGGCTGGGGAATCAGGGAAAGATTTATGGGAAAAGTGACAGATGAGATAGACATTAAAGAAAAGTAAAAATTTTGAAAGGTAGAGATGGGAAAGGGGTGGAGGTAGTGTTCTCCAGGCATACCTGTATATATGTACAAGCATGGGAAGAAGGCAGGATGAAGCAAGTAAATAATGGCTAATCTAGTCTGACAGAAACACAGAGTGAATAAAGGTTAAAAAGGAGATAAAGTTGGAAAAGCAGACAAAGCTCTATCTGGAGAGCTCTGAATGCCAGGCTAATACTTAAATTTTTTTTGCTTTAGATATCACTGATTTTTGCTATTACTCTGTCAGTAAAAAACTAACCTAGGTTCTAAAAATAACTGAGACTATAGAAGTCATTTTAAAATTCAATTTGATACCCCCAAAATGGGACCCTCTACATATAGATTAATGGTTCTCAGGCTAGTGCATTATTATTACTTAAGATGGAAGAACCAGGTTAAAATCTTAGCTAAGCTCAATTATTTATCATTTTATAATCAACATATACATATATATATTTGTGTCTATACATATATATAATCAATAAAAGAAAAAATAGTGATAATGAGGTTTGAAGTTCCTTATTGTTCCAATTTCCACGTACCTTGACCAGATCCTTCACAACATCCATTTTATTGAGAAGAAGGCAAACCACTATAAATCTTGCATAGTACCGTAGCTTCTTCACCACCAACTCAGGTCTATGGCAGGAAAAGATGAAATAACTATCATTTTAAAAAAAATACATATTTAACCATCCTTGTTTTCCATGGCATTTCACAAGCCATTGTATCATCAAATTGTCAGATCCTATGATGAGATATAATACAGTAGTTTTTCCCAAACATTCTCCTTCTGTGGTATACTTGTGACAATATTTGAACCGGTGAGAGAAGGTGGTAACCTCATATATTCTGGCAGTGCTAGTGGCACAGGCAGGATCTGAAATAGCTTTGACTATGATACATAAAAGGAAAAAAAAGTATCCATCATGACTTGTTTGCCATAGGGGTTCATACTAGATATAAAAAATCTCCCAAACCTGAAGCAAGCCTCAAGTTAGGGTCTAGTTCTGGAGGGTGGAGAAAGAAGGAGTTTTTATGGGAGACAAGGAAAGAAAAGGAAGGCAAGATGGAATATTTTATATACATATACAGCCTAAGGCCAGAAATGGAGAAAAAGGAAGCTTACAGGAATGGAGCAGGGGTCAGCAGGGCACATGGGGAGTTTGCAATGAGAAGTATATAAAAACAGTAGGCAAGCTGTATACACTACTTGGCTGAGAACTGCATGCTTGCAGGGAAGTTTGATTTTAAGGCTACCTAAAGAGGAAGTGAAATTAAAGGAGTACTTACTGGGATTAAAAAGAATAAAATGAAGTTGGGGAGATCCATAGTACAAGTACAGTAAGGTGGGAGGGGTGTGGATAAAGAATCTAATCTCTATGATCCTATGAACCTGTATGATTAAAGGCTATATGAGTGAAGAAGGATGAGGCAGCACCTGTGCATGCTTGTGGTTGGCATCATATGGACTTCTACAAGAAGTAAGAGATCTGAGTTTCATTCAGGAGTGTGTATTAAGACATGTTTTTTGTGAGCTGCACAGTAAATGGCAAGTACAAACTGCACTCACTCCATGCTTAAATTACAAGGCATTCAAATTACTTTGAGAGCCAGGAGCGAGATAAGGACACTGGGTATTAAAAAAAAATAAGGAAAGCCAGGATTGCTATAAGACACACATTCGTCCTTTAGAACACATTGGTGCAATCTCAAATACTAGATGGCATTGTTATTACATAGAACATAGAGACAAAGATTTTATCCTTTCTCTACTAGCCTGAAAATAAAGGGCTTCCTAGTGTTACCTTGGGATAACTGAATTTACACCACAATACTCATTCTAAGAACTTTGTTCTAGTCTCAGCACTACTACTTATTAACTATGTGATTTAGAAAGTCAGTTAATTTTTTTGAAACTCAGTTTTCTTGTCAACAAAATGGGTATAATAACATTTATCTTGTTGCAAAGATTAAGTAAGATTATGAAGTACTCTGTAACATGTAAAACTATAAGGGATCATCATCATTATTCCAAAGGTTTTCATTTCCTCATCATATGAAGAAACCAATAATTAAATTTCTTATATATTCTTTCTACCCATACACATATGTATATGTGTACACATACATATACATATTTTGTAATCATTGTCCTGTGGCAATAACACTATGAAATGATTGAAACTAGGCAATGAAGAGGCTATTATTACATAGCTCATGTTTGCTCTAATGAGGTTGTTAAATTTCAAAAAGTACAGGCAAGTTTTATTAAATAACGTATAAGTAACAAGAAGAACCATTTTCTTTTGATTTCATACTCAGAGTTATCTCAAGATACAATGAGTCAAACAATGGTTATAAAGTACACAATTAAACATTAATCATCAAGTTAGCTTCAAATCTTTCCTCTCTTTTGACAGAACTGAAATTTGAAGTTATTCAGATGAACACAAAAATATCACAAAAATTTGAGCTCTTCTACCTAATTTTGTTATATAATTCAATTCAATCAATATTAAGCAACTACTCTGTGTGATACACTCACTTAGATGCAGAAACTAAATAAAGTGTAGTTCATGAGTGTTAGATAGCATGTTTGCAAACTGATAGGTATTGTGTTACTTCCACCATACCTGTCCTCTTTACTGACTTGAGAGTAATAAGATCTCTGTCTGATTGCAGAGTAGAAGGAAAAGGCCTCATTCAGATAGCTGGTCTCAGATGTACGCAGGCTGTAGGAGAAATATATCATCTTAATTCTCTATACCTGGGTGTATCTCAAACTTTCCAAATATATAGGTACTTGGTTCTTCTACTGTCTCCTAAAATATTGGAGCTTCTTTTCCATACTATAAGCTCCTCAACAGGAGGAAGCACACCTTCTTGAATTCAAATTTCAGCTCAATATAAGAAAAACTTTCTAGAAACCAGCACTGCACCAAAATAAAGGGCTGCCTTGGAAAGTAACTAGTTATTTGTCATCTTCAAATAAGCTGGATGACCACTTGTTGGAGAAGTTGTAAAGGGGATTCATACTTCAGATATGGGTTAAACTAAATGACCTTTAGTGCTGTGAGCATGAATAAGATTCTTCAATGTAAAAAAAAAAAATTGGGAAACTGTCAAACAAGCAAAACTTGTCTTTAGACTCCTTCACCTTCATACTTTCTGAGGTGTGTGTCTCCTGCTTGTGCCACCTAGTCCAAGTACTGAGGGAGTATTCTCATCTTACTTAACTTGTCCCACTGTAGTGCTTCGACCAAGCCAGCCCTCCCTAGATTTTTCAGTCATCATTTCTTACAGCATAATAATAGGCCAATATATTAATATACCATTGTTTTTAATCATTCCTCAAATGACAGGCATCTATATACTTTGTATTTTTTGTTACTATAAAAATTATGAATATTTTAGTGTATATGGAACTTTTCTTTCTATTTGACTTAGGGTATTCTTAGGGTAAACACCTAGAAGTGAGATTTCTGGGTCATTTTAAAAAGTGACATTTTAGTCACTTTCTAAGTATAATTCCAAATTGATTTCCAGAACAGATGGACCAATTCATATATATCCCCCAAAGGGGGATCAATGAATGTCTTTCCATGGTCCTTCTAACATGGACTGCTTCCCTCTTTTGTCATCTTTACCTATTTGCTGGGTATAAGGTAGAACCTAAAGGTTGTTTTGATCTGCATTTCTCTCTTTTTAATTTTTATTTTTTTCAATTAGCAAAACCTCTCCCTCTCATGCCCCACCCCAACTGAGAAAAACAAAAACCTGCTACATGTTTAGTCAAGCAAAACAAATTCCTGCATAGTCCTTGTCTTTTTTTTTTTTGCTCATGTCTTTTAAAAAAGAAACATCTTAAACTGTACTCTGAGTCTTTCACTTTTCTGTGAAGAGATGGTAGCAAGTTTCATGAGTCCTTTAGAATCATGTTTGGTCATTACAATGATCAGAGCTCTTAAGTCTTTCAAAGTTGTTTGCCTTTACAGTATTGTTGTCACTGCACACTGGTTCTGCTTACTTCATTCTGCATCAGTCTTTCCAGTTTTCTCTGAAACTATCCCTTTCGTCATTTCTTACAACCCAATAGTATCCCATCACATTTATATACTACATCTTGTTTGGTCATTCCTCAATTAATGGTCACCCCCTCAGCTTCCAATTCTTTGTTACCACATGAAGAGCTACAACAAAGATTTTCGAACTTCTTAGAGTTTGTTTTGCTTAGAACTGTTCCCTCCCTTAATATGCTGTCCTTATTTTCCTCTCTCCTGCCTTTCTTTTCCCTCCTGTTTCCCTCAGATGAAATGTTTTTTCTATACGTGTGTGTGTGTGTGTGTGTGTGTGTGTGTGTGTGAGTGTGTGTGTGTGTGTGTGTGGTCCTCTCTCCTTTGGCCAGTTTAGATGAGAGTTAGGTTTCAGTGGTAGACTCCCCCCCACACCCCTTGTCTCATTTTTTGTATAAACTTCTATTTATATGCCCTGATTATGTGAGATCATTTTCTCCATCCTTCCTTGCTCCCCCTGTATGTTCTTCTTCCCCTCCCTTTCCATTCTTCATTCATTCATTAAGACATAATAGAACTGTTCCCAAGCTCTCAGTCTAATTAATCTCCCGTTATGATCCCTAATAATAGGGTTGTGGGGGTGGGGTGGGGAAACAGAACACAATTATCATCAACCCATATCAGAATGTAAGCACTTTGTCCTTTTTCAGCTCCTTATGACTTACACTCATGTTTACCTTTTTGTGTTTCTCTTGACTCCTGTGTTTGCACTTCAAAGTATCTATGCAGCTCCTTTTCAGTAGGAATACTTGGAAATCCTTTATTTCATTAAAGGTTAATTCCCCCCCACCCCCGTTAGCATTATAATCAGTTATGCTAGGTAAGTTATTCTTAGCTATACGCCCATACCCTTCACCTTCTCAAATATTGTATTGCAAGTTCTTCATTCCTTTAGAATGGTGGTTACTAAATCATGTGTGATCCTGACTGTGACTCCCCAGTATCTGAATTCTTTCTTTAAGATGCTTGCAGTATTTGTTCTTAGACCTGGAAGTTCTAGATTTTAGCAATTTTGTTACTGGGGTTTCTTTCATGAGGTAACTGATGGATTTTTTTTTTTTTAATTTCCACTTTGGTCTTTGGTTCTAAGAGAACTGGGAAGATTTCTCTTAAGATTTATTAAAATAGGATGTCAAGTCTCTTTTTTTGGTCAGAGCTTTCATGCAATTTAGTAACTCTTAAATCATCTATCCTCAATCTCTTCCAGGTCAGTTGCTTTTGGATGACAGGCCTTACATTTTCTTCTATTTTTCAGACTTTTGACTTTGTTTTAACATTTCTTGTTTCATGGATTCATTGGTTTCTATTTGGTTCATTCTAATTTTCAAGGAATTTGTTGTTTGGGCATGATTTTGTATCTCTTGTGACAAGCTGTTAATTCCCTTTCCACTTCTTCCTCTTATAGCTCTCGTTTTTCCAATTTTTTTCCTCTAGTACACTCATTTTATTGATAAAAACTTTTTTAAACTTTTGCTTCAACTCTTTCCAGTTGAATGTGCTGAAGATGTGTTTTTCTTTGAGGCTTTGCTTGTAGATGTAATGGAAACATTCTCTTTTTCTGGGTTTGTACCTTGAACCTCCCTGTCACCATGATAGTTTTTTTATGGTGACGTTCCTTTTTTCTTCTCCTTCTTCCAGTCTTCTTCCTGACTTTGGATTTTATGTTAGGCCTGGGCTCTGTGTATTTCTGGAGGGAATGGCCGGTCTGATCTTGCTGTAGCTTTCTTGGGGGAGTGAATGTGTTGTTATTCTAGGATCTTAGAAACAATTTGGGCTAGGTACCTAAAAACTTTTGGTGCTCCCAAAGCGGTCTGATCCACAGCAAAGTCTAATTTTTGCCTTCCTGGTCTAAACTCTACAAGTTCCTGACTTAGGAACTACAGTTCCTGACCATGGGATCCCCTTATTTGAAGTTTTAGTAGCATGCTCTTGAATTCAGCCACCATTAGATGACTGGAAAGCTCTGTTGGTTCAGAGTAACAAAATTATAGGCTCCCCTTAGATCTGAGATTCCCGTCCTGGTTATTCTGTTGCAGATTTCAGAGTGGGTTGGAAATTGGAACTGAGACCTTCTCTCCACTCCCATCCTCCAACCCTGCAGACAGCTGTTCAAAGCTATGGCTTGATTCTGACCTTGCTCCTTGTTCTATACATAGCCTAGGGTATGTAAATTCTCCTCATACTGGAATGCCACCCCTAGGCACAGGTCCCCTCCTCATCTACCCTGGACATGTTACCCAGAAAAAGATAATGAGCAACAGAGCTGCACATTGGCACCTTTTCCAGCACTCTGAACAAGCTTAGCCTCCTCTCTGAGATCTGCAATCTCTTCTTGCCCTGGTGTGTGGCCTCTTCCTGTGACTGTTCCTATCTACACCCCATCACCAACTGCCAAAGACCTCTCTGTCTATTTTCCTATGACAACTTGAACTGGAAAAATGACTTACTGTAAATTTTTTTCTTGGATTTTCCAAGCAGGATTAGGTTTTATACATTTAAAGGTCTGTTTGGAGGAACTGTGGAAGAAAGCTCACTTTAATTCTTCCTGCTATTCTTCCACCATCTTGGGCCCCCCACCAAAAAAAATTTTTTTCTCTTAATATTAATGATGTGGAACAATCTTTTATGTAGTTGCTAATGATCTGCAATTCTTTTGAGAACCATTTGTTCTTACCCTTTGACCACTTATTTCTTAGAAAATAGTTTTTGGCCTTATTAATTTGTGTTTGTTGCCTATATATCTTGGATATATCGAACGCTTCCTAGAGATAGTTGATAAAAAAATTTTTTTCCAGTCAATTGCTCCCCTTCTTTAGTTAATTTTGTCCCTGTGAAAGTTTTTCACTTTCATTTACCTGAAGTTATTTATTTTATTCTTTGGCATCTCCTTTTTTCCTTGTTTAAGAATTCCCCCATAGTCTTCCACTATTACCTACTGAAAGATAGTTAATCTTTTTAAAATTTTTTTTAAATCATGAGAACTTTAATATTTATTATTTTTGTTAGTTGTTTTGTATCTAACTAATTCACTCAAAGTTAGTGAATTCTCACTTAGTTTCTTTGATGTTTCTCTGGAGTTTTCTAAGAAAATCATCATGTCATCAAATAAATAGGAGTAATTTTGTCTCCTCTTTCCTTATGTTTATGCCTTATAATTTCTTTCTCTTATCCTACCGCTATCACTAGCATCACTAGCATAATTCCATCAACTGACAACAGGGAAAGGAGACATCCTCAGGACAGGTTTTTCTCTAGTCATTCCCTAGACAGTTATGTTCTAAAATAGTTTCTGATCTATAACTTCCTAATCAAAATTCATCTGTCCTTTTTATCTCTTTCTTCCATGACCTTATTTTCATCTAGTTTTGTTTTGGTTTTTTTGGTTTTTTTGCTTTTTGGTGAGGCAATTGGGGTTAAGTGACTCGCCCAGAGTCACACTGCTAGTGAGTGTTATGTGTCTGAGGCCGGATTTGAACTCAAGTTCTTCTGACTCCAGGGCTGGTGCTCTATCTACTGCACCACCTAGCTGCCCCTTCATCTAGTTTTAAACCTAATCAAAGTTAATGTGCTCAGTGAGTATTAAATACTTATCCCTCTTCATCAGAACAATCCCAGACTACTTGATTCAGTCCTTAGCTACATTTTGGGAAGGTGATACTAGAGTTTATCCAGAGGATGGTGACCATGCCACTCAGAGAAGAGAAGACTGGGGTAAGAATTGCTCTCTTCCAGCATTTAAAGGGCTACTGTGGAAAAGTCATATTAGAATAGATTACATTTGTTTTGCTTTGGTTTGAGAGGGGAGAATTGAAAACAAGGGGTAGAAGTCAAATAGAAAATTTAGGCTTGATAAAAGGAAAAAAAGCATACTAAGAATCTGTCCACAAAAGGAATGGACTATTTTGGGTATTAGTGAGTTCTCCATTACTGAAAGTCTTTAGACAAAAGTTATATGACTTCTTCAGAACATTGTAGAACAGATTCCTATTTAGGGACAGGTTGGACTAGATGACATATATCTCAAAGATTTTATGGTTCTGTAGGAATGCTGCCAATGAATTTTAGGAGTTGCCTAGTCTCTTGGGCTCTTCGTTTTAATGGCTCCTAACTGAGCAGTTTTGTGTATTAACAATGCCATTCCTGAGACAATAGATGTAACCAAAAAGTGGTTTTAATTGTGAAGGTTGCAAGCAGCATGTTTGTGGAGAACATATTGGAGGGGGGAAAAGGAAGTTTGGTGCCTCTCAAAACACTTTTGACGGCACCCAAAAGAGGGCTGGTCTTAGCCATACATCATGGACTCATATATTATAGGAATTAGAGAGAACTGCAAGGAAATCACTATGCTCAGAAAAACTCCAACTTGCCAATATTCTTCCTACAATACATTGCTATGAATCAGCCACAATATTCTAGATGTGATCTGACTACAGCCGAGTACAAGGAGACTACCACCACTCTCATTTTAGACATTATGCTCTTATTAATGCAGCTCAAAATGCTGATGCCATCCTAGGCTGCAATGTTACAGTATTGACTCCTGTTTGAGCTCATAATTCGCTAAATCCTCATGTCTTTTTTATATGAATGATTTGTCCAGCAATACCTACCTTATCTTGTATATGTAAAGTTCTTTTTTTAACTTAATAAATGACTACCATTGATGAAGGGCAGGCTCCCAAAATGGTGGTCCCTCCCCTTTCCCAGATGTTATTGTTTTAAAGATATAGTCAACTATAAAACGATTACCACCACACATCATCTTTTAATAAATACCTCATTACTCTGTAAGTTTGCTATTTTTAAATATATACATACATGTATATGTATATAATACATAGGGAGATATAGATACGTATGTACACATATACACACACACACACACACACACACACACATATCATTAGAGCTCCTAGAAGAGTAATAAAACCTCCCGACAAATAAAAAATCATTTGTCTGAAATTATAAGCAGACTCCTAACCACGACATATAGGTCTGCAAATACAATCCATGAAGTATGGAAGTCTCCGAGAGAGACTGGTGATTCCTTGACATGTAGTTTTAGTGTCAGTCACTTCATGTCATCCCCATCTGTTCTCTGTTTTCAAGCTCTCAGAATGTTCTGTCTGATTAGTTGCTCTCTTCCTACACTAGGAATCGAGGTTAAACCACACTTCAGCTCCTACATGTTTTAATTCACTTCTCTCAGGAAAACACATGAGTCTATATATAAGTTGTTTACTTACTAATAATGGTAGTAAAGCTGTCCAATCTTGGAAGCAATTTCTCCTATCTGCCACCGCTTCAAGCCATACCGATTATCCAAGACTTGACTGTTTAAAAAAAAGGGAGGGGAGTAGACATGAGTGTTGAAGAAGAGAGAAGAAAACACAAGTTTACAAGTACAATACATTTGTGCTATTCAAAATTTTCAAAGTGATCTCAAAGCAGCTATTTGACCACTTCAAAAAGCATTCATTATCTAGTCTTATGGATTCCAGATGGGACAAGTGATATCTAGGACAAGCTGATGAAACATCCCAAAGAAATAGTATGCTGGACAAAGTTAAAACCAATGCAAATTAAGATCATGCTTGGCATATTATATTAGAAAACTCTAAGTTCAAGACTGCCACTGACTATGCCACTTTGACAAAGTTATCTTTAAAATTAGTAGGGTTGGATTAGATGTTCTCAAAGGTACCTTCCAAATTAAAAATTCTATGAATTTGTCATTCTATAAGTAACAAGGAAACCTATTTTAAAATTTAAAAATATGATCTATTTATCATAGGAGTTCCTTCTGCACTATTACAAATGTTAAGTAACATTTCTGTAAAGGTCAGATAAATGTACTACATTTTCAAATATTAATTTTTACATTTCTTTTTTCCTATTCTAACTTATAAAAATCCAGCATCAAACCATTATCATCATTTGGCTAGTAAAAAAAAACCACAAAAATGAGGCAGGACAATGAAATATGGTGTCTTTGGCCACCAAAACAATGAGGGTCACAATCAAAATGAAAGCAGAATTACCCTGGCCATCTAGCCATTCACTGGGCCTTCTTACCATCTGCCATCACCAACCTGTTCCTCCTTACCTAGACTAGCACCCTTTACCCACACCAGACTCAACACTTGGACCTCCATATTCAGGTCTTCTGAAATTTATGCATCAGTCTATGAAGAAGTTAATCCACTCGTCTTTGGAGCTCCCATTCAAGGGCCCAACCCAATGATTGCTGACTAAGGGTGTACAGTCTAGTAAGCTATATCTACTGGCTACCTCTAGACACAAGACCACACTCCAGTATCACATTCCATCCAGATATCTCATCATCTGCCTAACCCTTCCCCAATGCACACCCCTCCCCCATTCCATTTTCATCTCCCCAGGAAAAACAAAAACAAAAACAAAACCCTTACCTAGTCATCTCTTCCCTATGTATATTTTCTTCCCCTATTAGAAGATAAGGTACTTGAAAATAAGGAGTCTATTTTTTAAATATTTTTATTCCCAGAGCTTAACATAGTACGTGGTATACAGTAAGCATTTAATTTTTTTTTTCATTTCATTCACTCATTCATTCAGCCATTAATCCTCTAAAACATATTCACTGTGTCATCATAGTGTGGAGGTCACCCAGGTTCTTGAAAACTGCAATAGTAGAGCTAGTAGATCTTAGTCAGCTGAAAAGACTTCCAGTACTACTTCCCCACACCCAACAGATTATGTATAAACTATTTTCGTCCATCTTAACTAGCTAAAGAGGGCTCAGCCCCTGAAGGCTGATGAATAGGTGATGCTTTTTATAGCCACAGCAATTTATGAAGACTAAATTATCTTCACAAGAAGTAGTAGTCGTTGTCTCTACAAATTCTTTGTGGTTTGCTGTAATGATCTCTAGCTAGAAAATCTAACAGGATTCAGTTTCTTACCGATGTTGCTGTTGGAACTTCCAGAGTTTGGTATAGACATCAAAAGTTCGCCCAAAGTAGGATTGCCACTGCTTTTGTCCATACTGTGGCAAGTCTCTGCAACAGCAAGAGTATATTTATTTGTAAACTGCACCAAGTTAAACGTTTTAAAAAACACATACAATCTTAATACAGACAGTTCAGAAACACTTTTGATGAGGCTTTATTAAAAAAATGGCATATCTTGGTAGAAATAGGGATGCTATATAAGGTCACCTACTAATTGACTATAATTTGATCACCTTGTATGTTTTTCTCTACATAGCAATGTGCTTATCCTGAAGATATGAAATTCCTAGTTTTAAGTGTATACTGTACATAGAGAAAACCAATATGGTATCATGGCAAAAGCACTGAATTTTCAGTCAAGAAATCTGTGTTCTAATCTAAAGTGGCACTATCTGTATAGCCATGTACTAATCATTTAAGGAAAACAATAGCTAACATTTATATAACACTTTAAGGTTTGCAAAGCATTTTACAAATATTTTCTCATTTGAGCCCAATAGCAACCCAAGTACTATTTGCACTATTTTCCAGATGAGACTAAGAGAGGTTTAGTGACCCTGCCAGGTCACCTGACAGCCACCAGGTATATGAAGTGGGATCTGAACTTAAGTTTTCCTGACTCCCAAGCCCAGCATCTCACTATACACCACCTTGCTGCATCCAAGCAGCTTCTCTTATCCTTAGTTTCCTCATTTGTATAATAGGGAAACATGTATACTACTTATGCCTCAAAGGGTTGTTATAAAAGCAACTTCTTGTAAACAATAAAAAAACCTATAGACCATAAGCCATTTATTATTATTATATAAATACAGATGAAATTCATTCATTCATTCAACAAGTTTTGTTTTGTTTTTTAAATTTGGAACACTTCACAAATTTGCATGTTATCCTTGTGCAGGAATCATGCTAATTTTCTCTGTATCATTCTAATTCAGAATATGTGCTGCTAAAGTGAACATTTGGCAAGTACTTTTCAAGTACCTACTATGTCCAAAGCCTTGGATTGGGTGTATGTGATAAAAGACCCTATTCCCAAGGAATTTACAACGAAAGCATTAAGAATCAAACAATGAATGAGAACTTGCTTATTTCAGACTGTTATTCAACCAATACTTCAAGAATTTTTTTTCAATATCTCTTCTTCATCTTTGTCTACAGAAAATCTCTAATAATCCCATAAACAAAGGCGAACCACTAACTAGACTAAACGATGGATCCTCTGCTGACTTTCACACCCAGTCAGCCGATAAACATTTATTAAGCATCTACCAAGAACAAAGTAATGTATTAAGTGCTTGGGATACAAAGAAAGGCAAAACTGCTACCCTCAAAAAGCTTAAAATCTAATGGGGGAAGACAACACACAAATAACTATGTGCAACCAAGCTACTGACAGGACACACAGGAAATAAGCAACAAAGGGAAAGGCACTAGAATTAAATAGGACTAAGAAAGGCTTCCTTTGGAAAGTGAAGTTTTAGCTGGGACTTCAAAGAAGCCAGGAAAGCTAAGAGGTGGATATGAGAAGGGAAACATTCCAGGCATGTTGGAACAGAGGAGGGAGATAGCCATTGAAAATCAGGAGATGAGTGTCTTGCTCAAAGAACAACAAGGAGGCCAGTGTCACTGGATCACAGAGTATGAGGAGGATGTAAGGAATAAGAAGACTGGAAAAGTGTAGGGATAGGTAGGTTATGAAGGGCTTTGAACAACAAACAGGATTTTATATTTGATCCAGGAAGTGACAGGGAGCCTCTAGAGTTTATCAAAGAGGGGAGTGACATGGTCAGACCTGTACTTTAGGAAGATCACTTTGAGAACCGAATAGAGAAAGGATTGAAGTAGAGAAAGACCCGCAGCAGGCAGACAATCATCAGGCTATTGTTTGTTGTGTAATGAGGTGATGAAGGCCTGTACCAGAATAATGGCAAGGTTAGAGAAGAGAAGGGGGCCTATGCACAGATGCTGCAAAGTAAAATCAACAGGCTTAGCAAAAGAGTAAGGAGTCAAGAATGACACCCAGACTGTGAACAATGGTAAGTGGGAAGGTGGTGCTCTCAACAATAGGTATAGGGAAGTTAGGAAGAGGCGAGAGTTTGGAGAGAAATAAAATGAGTTAAATTTTTTTTTATTTTTTTATTAATTTATTTTAATTTATCAATAATCACTTCCATATGCTTTTGAGTTGAAAATTTCTCTCCCCCTTCCTTCCCACCACCCTCCCCAAGACGGCGCATAATCTGATATAAGCTATACATTTACATTCATATTAAACATATTTCACATTAGTGATGTTGTAAGTAGAAATTAAAACCAAGAGGAGGAATCATCAGAAAGAGGAAACAAAACTCAACAGAAGAGAAAAAGAATAACAATTTGGCTTCCATAGTTCTTTCTTTGGATATGGATAGCATTTTCTATCACAAGGCCTCTGGAGAAGTCTTAGATCCTTGTATTGCCAGGAAGGGTTAAGTTTATCAGTATTAGTCATCACACAATGTGGCTGTTATTGTGTACAACGTTCTCTTGGTTCTGCTCACTTCACTCAGCATCAGACCATACAAATCTTTCCAGGTTTTTCTGAAGTCAGCCTGTTCAATAATGAGTTAAATTTTGAACATGTTAAGTTTTAAGATATCCAATATGTGGTTAGAGATGCAAGTCTGAAGGTCAGCAGAGAGATTAGGGTTGTACAAGTAGATCTGAAAACCACCAACATAAAAATGATAATCCAATCCACAGGAGCTGATGAAATTACCAAGTGATACAGTGTAGCAGGAGAAGCGAAGAAGACCCAGGAGAGAGTCTACCTCTACCGTTAGTGGGAATAACCTGAATGAAGTAAAGAAGAATGAAGAGAGGTCAGGTAGATAGGAAGAGGACTAGGAGAGAGTAGTGTCAAAAACCCTAGAAAGAAGAGAATATTAAGGAGAAAAGGGTGATTACTTTATTTGGCCTCATGGCTCAGGTTAAAGCAAATATCTGGGTTCATAATTTCTAGAAAATTGACACTCAGGAAAATGATATCAACATAAGCTTACTGTTATATGATGCAGCAAGCAGGCAAACAAAGCATACATACACTATGGCAATATAAACAGACAGAGGTTTGTCCCCACATGCAATTAACTTACCCCACCTCAAGGGTGAAGTAGACCTGTTGGGGAGAAAACCTGCTCAAAGTTGGGTTTCAGGTGGCAAGATTATATACCCTAAGAATAGACTTGGCTAAGAACAGATAATTAGTGCCAGATGTAGGAAGGGGCATTCCTATTCAGACCCAGAAGTGGCAGTTAGTTGGTTGTTGTCCTTCATTCTCAAAAAGGACCTAAATGACATCACTGTCGGGGCCAAGGCAGTGTGTCCAAATGTGGCTGAGCAGACCAATATGAGCTCAGAAGGCTCTACCACAGGTTGGGCACAAATAGTCCACATACACGTTTGGAGTGGAGATGTCTCCAAATTTATAGACCTCATGTGTCTTTTGAGGTACTGCAATTCTGTTTTGCTCATAAAGAACAATGCTTTCTTCAATATGCGCATGCCATGCTGGGCAGTTCTGTACCAGTATCTCACATGTCTCAATCAATTCCAAAGTTCTTTAGAAAGACCTTGAAAGTGTCACCTTTTGTTGGGAGGGGGGCAAGGCAATCAGAGTTAAGTAACTTGCCCAGGGTCACACAGCTAGTGAATACGATGTGTCTGAGGCTGGATTTGAACTCAGGTCTTCCTGACTCCAGGTCCAGTGCTGTATCCACTGCACCACCTAGCTGCCCCTGAGAGTATCACTTCTGACTGCCATGTGTGAGCTTGCTTTGTGTGAGTTCTCCATAAAATAATCTTTTAGGCAAATGTACATTTGGCATTTGAACATGTCCAGCCTATCAGAGCTGTGCTCTGCAATGAAGTTTGAATACTTGACAGTTCAGTTCAAGAAAGAATCTCAGTGTCCATTATTTTATCTTGCCAAGTGGTCTTCAGAATCTTCCTTAGATATTTCAGATGGAAGTGATTCACTTTCCTGGCATGATGCTGGTATAATGTCCAGGTTTCACAGGCATATAGCAATGAGGTCAGCACAATGGCTCTGTAGACCTTCAGTTTAATAGACAGTCTAATGCTTTTACTCTCTCACAGTTTCCTTCAGAGCCTCTCAAAAACTGACCTAGCTCTGGCAATGCATGTGTCAACCTCATCATCTATATGTACATTTCTGGAAAGTACTGCTAAGGTAAGTGAACTTATCCATAGTATTCAAAATTTCTCCATTTGCCATAACAAGTGATTCCATGTATGGATGGTGTGGTGCTGGCTGGTGGAGAACCTCTGTTGTTTTGGTATTTATTGTTAGGCCAAAATTAGCACAAGCAGCTGAGAATCGATCCATACTTTGTTACATCTCAACCTTAGAGGCTGCATTTAGTGTAAACAAAAAGTCATGCACCAACTCTTCTTCCCTTTTAGTTTTGGCTTGTAGCCTTTTCAAGTGAATAATTTACCATCAGTGCAGCTGACCTTGATGCCATTTTCATCCTCACTAAAGGCATCTGACAAAAGTCTTAGAGTCCCTTATTGCTACTAAGCTTGAGTGAAGTTTGGATAGGGGGAGTTTCCTTATCTAGACTACAAACTGGTAGGAGGATCTAACGTTAACAAAGGCAGCAGAAACAGAATGACTTAAGACCCCTGCAGCAAGTTAAGAATTCATTCAATCAAAAATCTGCTAGCCTTATCCACCTGACATAGTTTGTACTTTTCTACCATTAAATCTGTTTTTTCCTATTTGTTTCTGTAGACATTAGGACTGCTTAGCCTAAATGACTCCATTTTGGAATATTATCATTATAAATACAATATCAAAGAATAACTATGACACCAAGCAATAATTATAACATCAACAATGTAAAATTTTAAATTATTACAGTGATTGACCAGTGTCAAAGGTTGTAGAGAGACCAAGAAGGATGAGGATTGAGAAAAGACCATTCTGTTTGGCAATTAAGAAACAGTAACTTTGGAAAGAGCAGTTTGCATTGCATAGTAAGAATGGAAACCAGACTATAGAGAGTTATGAGGAGAGTTGAGAGGAAATAACATGTAGATGGCCTAACCTAAAGGAAGTTAGCCACAAAAGAGAGGAGAGATATAGAATGAGAGCTAGCAGGGATGGATGGATCAAATGAGAGTTTTTTTGAGGATGAGGGAGACAAGGGCATGTTTCTCAGCAGCAGGGAAATTGCCAGTAGACAAAGAAAGAATGATAAGTGAGAGAGCAGGGATGATAGAAGGGGCAATCTGCTAGAGAGGAGGAAAGGGAATGGGATCACTTCTGCATGTAGAAGAATCTGTCATGACAAGAAGTCACTTCTTCATGTGAAACAGGGGTGAAGGAGGAGAAAGATAATGGTAGAAGGCATCTGGGTGATGTGAGATGAGGAAAAAGGAAGAAGAGGGAGCTTTTGGTGAATGGCCTCAATTTTTCAGTTAAATATGATGCAAGCTTCTTGGCCTAGTTTGAAACAGTTGGTAGCTCTTAGTTTAACTTTTCCCTGCCAAATCACAGAATAACCAAATGTCAGCGCTAGAAGAAGCTATGGAGAACTAATCTGACCCTTTCATTTTAGAGTTTAAAAAAAAAAAAAACCTGGGGGGATGGAGCCAAGATGGCGGAGTAAAAGCAGTGACTTGCTTGAGCTCTCCCCCAAACACTTCTAAATACCTATAAAAAATGGCTCTAAACAAATTCTAAGGCAGCAGAACCCACAAAAAGACAAAGTGAAACAAATTTCCAGCCCAAGACAACCTGGATAGTTGATCAGAAAGGTATATCGTGCCAGGCTGAGAGAGGAGCACAGTTCAGCGCAGGCGCGCAGGATGGAGCGAATCTGGAGCAGGCCTCAAAGGACTGAATCGCAGTCAGCTGTGGCAGTTTTCAGACTTCTCAACCCACGAACACCAA